GGATTGGGCATGTGTTGAGAGAGAATGACCTGGTTGAGGAGGTGATCGAAGGAAGGTTTCTTGGGAGAAGATGAAAAGGACGGAAGAAGATCATGATGCTAGATGATGTTCAACAAGGAGGGATTTATGAACAGATGAAGAGAGAGCTAAATGAAGGGAAGAATTGTGTCTAGGTCCTGTTTTAGGACAAATAGCTAGATAACGATGTTAACATTTTATACAAAATACAATAACAGAATGCTACTTTCTTTTATTAGTTGTTTCTCAGGCACGGTCTAGTGGTTAGACTGTGGCTATGAGAATTCGTAGTTTGCGTACCTTTGTCACAACCACTGGTTCCGCCATTTTAGGGCCGTGAGTACGCCATAAGTGTGACAGTGAAATTCCACTAATCAACCAGGCAAGAGTAATCCACGAGTTAGCTAGCTTCCTTCATTTTCCAGATTAGAGACGACTAGCGCAGATAGCACTTGAGTAGCTTTGCAAGAATTTTTTTAAACAAACAATTGGTTCTTTCCTGTATCTTTAGTTTTCCAGGGATTGCAGGAGTTTAAATTAGAACATGTTTTAACAAGTTTTTTCCACCATCAAAACAATTACCGTAGTTTTTAATTATCTTTTGAATTCAAAGTTTGATATAATTACAGTGATTTTACAAGATACTTTACCTGAAATTATAATTATCTTTTGTATCCATGATTTCTCAAAACAATTATTGCATTTAAAATCTCTGTTCATAACTTTCCTTGATTTTCTGTGCTTTTAATCAACAGTGTTTTGTTTCCAATAGATACAATATATTTAGCTAGAGTTTCAAAAAAAATATTTTCTTACAATTACAGTAATGTATACTTCAAGTTGCATTCACGCATTTTCTTAACATAATTGTAGTTGTAATCTCGGTTTGAAATCAAAAATGTCCTTGAATAACTAAGACTTTACCATAGATTTTCCGGAAATTCAGTAGTTCTAATTTCGACCTGAAACCTCAGCTTCCCTAAAACTAAGGCAGTTGTAGTTTCGACCTGAAACCTCAGCTTCCTTAAAATTACAGACTTATCTTAGAAATCCCGTAATTATAAGTTTTACTTGAAGCTACGAGTTTCGTAGAATTACGGTAGCTTTAATTTCCTTTTTGATCCATTGTTTTCTTAGAATCATTGGAGCAAGTCAAGCTTTGTGTCTTGAGTTTCTTTTAGAACGGTGGTGATTTTAGTTTACTTTTTGTATCTGTATATGTTCTAAGAAAATCATTACCTGTTATCTTATTATTAGTTGTAACTAGTTGTATAAAGTAGTTTTAAATACCTTTTGTATCCATAGGTTTTCCTAGAGTTATGGTGGCTCCTGCATTCATTACACCTAATACTGCTGCTGGAAAATCCACATTATTAGAAGAACAAAGGCAAAATACGTCTCCAAGCTTTAAGCCTCGTCGTATGAGAGCGCTGGAGAATCGTTTTCCGTACAAAAGCACTTCTTTAATGGTGATAGAACGAGAATTATCATGTGCTATCTACAGAAGACAAAACTTTTTCATTGATTTAAACAATCAACAAATAAGTAAAATGAGGTTACATTATAAAAGTTTGAAATAGTTCAAGTGTTCAGTATTTTTTTTTTACTGAAAGTCTTTGTTATGCATGTAATTTTCAATTAAAATTCCTTAGTTGAACATCAGGCCAGATGGGATTTATTGGTTAGCGTGTAACTTGTAACTCTAATTGGAAGGTCCAAGGTTCGTGCCGTGATGTACAACAGAACATGTTTTGCACTTTCAGTTGTGGTACAGTTATAACTATGGCAGTCAATCCGCTTTTCGTTAGTCGTGTAAGCGGCAGGTGCTGCTAATTGTACTTCTCCCTTCCTTGGTCAATAGCTCAAAAATTAAAGCTGACTATGTGTGAGCTTTGGGGTCTTTTAACCTGACCGGTTAGCCCTGCTCAGAATATAAATAACAAACTAAACAGTAGGTCGATTAGGACTTGCGTTAAGCTTCAAGTTTCACAGTTTATTACATTAAATAACATTACTGTAAACATGTAATTTATGTGAGAAAATCATTTATTGTATAAATTTCAACTTTTCAGTACTAAATAAATGCTATAAAACCTTACCATTAGATATTTGTCAGGGTGGTTCTCTAGGGTTGTGCAAAGAAATTCAGGTAAGGAGACGTTAGGAATGTCCACAGCGGTTCGAGGAGAACGAAGGATCTTTTCGTTCGAGGATTTAATGTTAGGAGTTGTGGTATCAGACATCTTGTGAAAGGTCCAACGTAGAAACTAGCTTGACATTCGCTGTTGTGGATTATTCAAAGCTAACCCTAACCAGAAGTTCACCGCTTTGTAATACTCAAAGGTAATGTTGATCTTCACTGATTTATGAAGGAATTCGGATTTCGATTAGGTGAGCTATTTGTTGTTCAAATGTTTCAGTGAATATCGGATGTTACTTTTCAATAAATCAATTAATCAGATAAACAACAACAAACAAAAAAATCAAGAATACCCGCGAGTTTGGTAAAACGTCAGTTGTACAACGCGTTGCACAGATAGTTCTTAAACCTTGAAATGTTCAGAGTTTGACTATATATCGATAAATAAGTGGCGAGTGTTTATTCGGGAACACACATTAATCAGCGAGGTCAGAGGTTGTTTATCCTATCTGCACTCATCGCCACATGATGTAGAGGGAGCTAAGCTTACTTGTAGGTAGTAGTTGGTAGTAAACAAAATATTATGAAGACAGTTGAAACCAATTTAATTATTGTTTCAGAGTAAAATGTTAACAATTAAACTAGGTATTAATTGAAATAGCTGTATAGTCACTTTTGCCACACCTAGTATAAAAGAGAAAGGACGAATGGATAAAAGCTTGGTGTGATCAAAAGTCAACAAGGTCACATCGTTAACGGATATACATGAACAAATAATGGCTGGAGACGGCTTGAATGGGTAATGAAGAAAAACTTTAATATAAGTTTAACATGACAGCAAATGTACAAAACCTTGTCGAAACGTTGTACATTTGCTGTCATGTTAAATTTATATTAAAG